CACAATATGGCAATGTGAACAAAAATCACATAATATGTTCTAAGCATGAGCTCTGTTCCACTAAATTGACATTAAAAGTACTGTATAAGCTGTGGCACCTCAAGTAAAATGTTATTTTGCTGATGCTTGATTGATGGTACAGGCAATGTCCAGCCTCTGCATTTCTAACTTTAATGTGAACGCTTCATTCATCTAAACTTTGATATCTTATATATCTTAAACACACATTATGCAGCTGTACAGTACATCCAGATCAAAAACACTGAGCGGATAATTCCTGCTAAGGGGTGTTTATTTTGACTGTTAGGACCTTGAGTGTCCCTGGGAAACTGTACTACATCCCACGCTCCAAATGAGCCCATGAGGAAATGACCATGTCAAAGTGGCCTTAGTGGGGCGCCCAACTGACAAGTGACTTCTGCTGAGAGTTGACCTTTACCTGAAGTTTAACGAGATCTCCTCCTCCCAACGCTTCTTACCCAGCTCTAATCCAATCAAATCTCTTTATTTCTGGCTGAGTGAAGGGACAATCTCAGACCCGGGGGCTCAGTTTAAGAACAGAGCTTTCTCTCACTGAACGAAGCACCGTGTCCTGGGTTTGAGTATAGCGACTGAGGTTTCACACGGAATAGCAGTTTGGAAAAATATCTCTCTCTGTAGCACCACAACGCTTTATTTATAATAGTATGTTGTAACACATTTCAGCTTATTCAAAAATCTGCAGCTCCTGAGATTTGAATATTGCACTTGGCCATATTGCGATTTTGATATATTTTGAATAATTGTTCAGCCCTACAGCCAAGTCAAACTGGTTAAACCAGTTTATTGATTATCTTAAACAGTCTAATCCCAATGCCGAAGAGGGCGGCAAAATATTAATCTGCTGACACCACGGTCTACCATGGCCAGTTTAAAATAACCTCCATAAATGAAGTAAATTCAGTTGTTTGATATCCCAATTCATCAAAGTTGTAACTCTGTAATTTATACTTAGTGCTGTGATTCAGTGCTTAGTGCTGTAATGTCGTTTGTGGCATTTTAAGTCTTTAAATTGTGTATTTCATTTATTGTATTTGGAATTTCAAGACAATTTCATCCCCCTGGGCATTAAAGTACATTCTACTCTAATCTAGATTGAATCTTTTAAACCTCTCAAGCACTCTGTTCATTTCTGTCTATTCATCAGCCACCTGCACAGACATCCGTTCGCTAGGTCTCAGAGGATTGAAGCATAATAGTCACATGTGAGGAGAGACACAGGTCAAATACCTTCATACATACTGTATATACTAAAAACAAAATGAGGTGTCCAGCCTCTTTGGTGAAATACCCTTGATTCACAGGATCCGGACATACAACCATAGAAAAGTGGCCCAGCTGTGCAGTTGACATGGATGCAAATGCGTATGAACGCTAATCTCAAGGCAGAGCAACCCCAGTGCAGTCATTACACACTACCTCTACTGACTCACTCACACACTTCCTGGAAGAGCCTGTCTGCACACTTGCACCGAACGTTATATTTAACCCTCAGGATGGGTTTGTTGGCTTTGTGTGTCAGGGGATCACCGGACCTGGGTCTATGATTGTGACTCATGCTTTTGTTTGAAATTGTTGGTGGGCAGGAGGGGGTTATGGTCCAAAGGGGAACAACAAATCAAGACAGATTTCACTGGCAAATCCCTGAACTATGGTTAGTCATTTATTGAAATTCATTTCAGGGAATAAACTAATGCAGTGGCAACATGCCTGAGGACAAATGTGGCTTGCCTCACACAGTGACAAGGCCAACAAATTAAAGACAGCTTGTTTGTTCCTAAGACGACCCTATCTCACAACCTTTGCAACAAACTGCTCATAATTTGTGCTCAGTCCTTCTAGAAGCACACATCTTTCGAATCAACAGTAGCAAAACTACTATCTATGCACACATTGCATAAGCTGTATGCAGAGCAAGACCGAGCTGGTCAATACAATTCAATGGGCCAAGGTAGAGGCAAAAAGACTGCATTGATGACATAATTGATTGATGTTATCGAAGTTGTACTTTGCCCACAGGTGCTGATCAGTGACAAGATACATACAGTAAACTCTGACATGGGGAAAGCATTGTGTAGACTTCAAATGTGTGGGGTTTCTTTCCAGTCAGCTAAGTTACAATCTTGACATACTCATGGAGTCAGTTATAGATTTCTCAACAGCAGCTAAATCAAAAGGTTAATGGTTAACCTATGAGAAAATGCCTTCTGTGTAGACAGGCTGATATGCTGGCTGCCTACCACCATTAAATAAATAGAAAAAATCCATGTGGTGCAGTTAAGGGCACTCTGGAGGAAAAGTACACTTCAAAACGTGCCTTACCAAGTGCATAATTAGCTTTATTTAAACAACCAGTGTGTGACATAAACACATCTTTCATTTAATTTCTAGTTTGCCATATTGTCAGGACCTGCCACACCTTTACACTCAAGGTGTCCTGCCGTTCATGGAGCCAGGTGCTGCTGAGCCACCTGTTGCTCATCAAACGTCCCTGTGAAGATGGCACCTTACGCTAGCTTACTATTCATCCTCTGTCCCAAAGCAAAGACACGAGTTAACGTTATGATAGCTTATAAAAACCGTTAGAAAAGGTGCTGCTTACTTCCATAGCGTGGCTTTTGTAAAGCTGCGGTTTCTTCATGGTACATCTTGCGTCGTTTCCTCCACTCGTGAACTCGTCTGAACTGGAAATAACTTCAGCCTGCGAGCTAACGTTTCAGCAACCGGGGCCAGCAATGCGCCGCGTCTTTCGCAATGTATTGATAAGAATAAAATAATTGATGTATCTAACTGGAAAACATGCCGGGAAACAAGGGCACCACAGTCTCAAAAACTTTCATTAAAACGGCAAACTCTCAATTGCGGCAGACAATCCCCATGGTGTGTGCACTGCTTTAGTGTGACTCCCGAGCAAAGTGTTGGTGACCTCGCCCCGCTACGCGCTGAAGTGAAATGATTGACGGGACAGGAGATGGAGATGTAGCACCTTGCACCACCTGCTGGTCAAAAGGTGGCTCATGCTGCATTCAATGCCACTGTTGTATTCAGTTTTAGCTTATTTTTAGTTTCTGTTTTTATTTTATTTTATTTTATATATTTTCTTAATGCCTTTTATGTCTTAAATCACGTTGAATTACTTTGCTCTTGAAAGGTGCTATACGGATAAACTTGCCTTGCTTAGCAAACCTCAGTGTGTCCTCATTTGTCTCTGAAGTCCCCTGAAATAAAAAAAAATAAAAAAACGGCCAGTCACATATAGGCGATTAATTTTATAACTGCAAAATTTAATGGTCACAAACTGAGAATAGCCCCGCATATTCTTATGATAAATGGACATCTAAAATAAATGTAATTACATATTAGTAGTAGTTACATATTCTACAAATACAGGCATCCAGGGAGGGAAATCAAGCGAGTTTAAAAATTCAGGTTATTATTGTATAAAAGTCTTCATAACATCAAAGGAAACATGTATCATGTATGTTCCTCACAGTGTGACGGTATTATTTTTGTCAGGTAATCATTTCAACACCTTACTTCATCCAATGGGGGGCAGCATTAGTTTGAGATTGTGAATACGGTAATCATGGGGAACACAGCCACATCCCGCATGTGCTTTTCTGAATGTCCTGTCGACTACCTGGTATTCTGAGAGGTGTTTTTAATATTTTGACAACCTCTTCAATTTTCAGGTATACTAAATATTATAACGTGTTCTCAGTGTTATACAATGCAAGTCAACAGCACCATTACAGTCTCCAAAATGATCAAATTTCTCTGTACTGTAACAGTTTCATCAAAAATTACATATCATGAGTCATAAAGATAGGATTTATTACAGGGGTATTTTTAAAATGTAAAACTTTTTTATGTTACACTTTTCATTACACTGCAATAGTTTGTTACATGTACCTAATAAACTGACAACTAAGTTTACTTTTTTCCCACAATTATGAAAGTGCCCATGAACACATGCAAGAACAAAGGGAAACATTTACACTGCAAGTCTGTGTTTGCATGCTTTTTCACCAAGATCGTGTGTTTGTTTAAAACAAGCAAAATTAGCTCTTTGTGCAAATGATTTTTGAGAAACATCTCCAAAATCGTGTCTTTTCTCTCTCTGCGTGATCTCGAGAAGGTCATCGATGCTTTTATACTTCATCTAGGTTAGATTACTGTAATTCATTATCTTCAGGGTTAAGCCTAAAAACAATAACGCCTTCAGCTGGTACAAAATGCAGCTTCTCGACTTTTAACAAATACTAGAAGACAGAATCACATCAGTCCTGTTTTAGCCTCCCTTCCCTGGTTACCAGTAAATTTTAGAATTTATTTTAAGGTTTTATTGATCACTTAAAGCACTTTGTGGATTTGCCAGCTACATTGCTGAATTGCTGCTCCCCTATGATCCAGAACGCAGCCTCAGATCCTCGGGCAGGGCTCTGTTGGCTGTTCTTAAGTTCCAGCTCAAGACGAAAGGTGACCAGGCTCACGCAGTCAGGGCCCCTCAGCCCTGGAACTCCCTGCCCGAGAACCTTAGGTTTGCAGGATCAGTGACATCTTTTAAAACACTTACAAAAATGCTTTTTAAAAATATATTTTTAAAAAGCATTTTAATAATTTATATATAATATAATAATTCTATTTCAAAATTGTTTCCAACTGTTTATTTTTATTGTCATCACTGTTGTGTGAATCTCATTTAATTTTAACTTTGTATCATGGTATTGCTTGATTTTATGGCCTCTGTCCTGAAATGTTTTATATCTTTGTTCGATCATGTAAAGCACTTTGTAACTTTGTATTGATAAGTGCTGTGTAAATAAAGTGTATTATTGCTACTATTATTATAAATGAAATGAAAGTGCTGTAATTTAATATATCGAGATAATGGAGATCAATTTTCATTTTTTGAGGTTTGAGAGAAATGTTGTGAAATAAAAGCACAGCATACTTTTCTAGAGAACATAACTTTTTTATTGTATATATGTTCAAAAGCCACACAATCTGCAATCCCTGCCTTTCCAGTTTCTACGATTATTCACAGGGCATCATTTGGCAACTATTTCTTCACATATTTTCACACTTATAGACCTCTGAACATACAGCACAGTCACCCTATGACTGGCAGGCAATACACAATAATGTACACAACTTTATTCTCCACATACATTTGCTTACCTCCATAAAATGGATGAACAGAACTTACAGGAGTGATACATTCACATTTTTCCTCAACAAAAATCTGAATATTGCCATCATTTTCCGCCAGAGGAATTTACAGTAAGAACACAAAGTTGAGCACAAAAGAACAGAAGTTTTCTTACATACATGCAAGTTTGGCACACACACACATACGCACACAGAGAGTAGCAGGTGAATGGGGGCTTAACGCCAAGGACACACAGAAGTACAACACAGATACAGTAGATGGACTTGGACAAAGCAGGAGACACATGAGTTGATCAAGGAGCTTATACACATATAACCCAGAAGTCCACCAATATCAGCTTTGATATGTACATTATTTACACTCATGCATCCACACACACATACAGTACTCTCTCGTATACACACACGCACGTACACACACATACAGTAAATACAGTACATATAAGCAATACCCCAAATACCTCAAACATAACAGCAATATAATTTCTGCCCAATATAACACAACAGGTAGATCTGCCACGAATTAAGGTTTTAAGACTGAAACCATACAGTTCAATCCTTGTTATTCTTGCCACTGACAACAGTCAGCTGCGTTGGATTGACGCTGGGCAAAAGTCATAAGTTTTTTATATCAGTGCATTTATTTTTTTCAAAAATATTTAAATTATGTCATCAAAAAATATCTGTTGCGAAACAGCAGCACACTTCATTATGTATTTCCAACTAATTTTACAAAATCTGAGATGAAGTTGGTTCCATGGAAATGAATGCACATGTACAGTACCACTGTTGTTGTTTTTTGTTGTTGAGTAGCCTTGACAGCCTGAACTGCAGTGTAAGGGCACACTACCTCTACGCTGCGATCACAGATACCACAAATACAGAGAAAAGCAGGAGAACACAGGCAGTTAGCCACAGAAAATACAATCCACAAATTAAATAAGACTGAGAGTAACTGAATTATTATGTCAGCTATATGCCGAAAAATGCCAATTTGAATTTTTAGAAGTATTTTAACACTTTGAAAATAACAATATGATCTTAATCTCACTATCTTTTGCGGTATGCATTGAGGTTCCAATGTTGAAAGACAAGATACATAATAACTATTACAAGATAGGTCATGTTTTCAAGTAAGATTATGGCAAAACTAGATTTTAGACAAAAATCTTGGTAAGTCACAACAAATGACTGAGATCAACTGTATCATCTAGTTTTTGTTTCACAACTTCAAATGTGACAAAAATGCAAACTTAATTTGGGTTTAAGTCTTCCCAGATGATTTAAGATCAAAGAAGATTTAAGGTCAAAAAAGCCAAAAGTTTCCTTAGGAGACATCATGGGTGGCACCAATTAGTCCTCATAAAGAGGTAGATGTTCTTTACATTATTACTTTGTAGTCATGCAAGGTCATTTACACCATTTGATCAGATTATGATTCATTGTTACATGCAGTAACAAATGGATTTTTTTTTCAGGAGAGGAGGCGACATATGTCACAAAAATAAACATTTTATCAAAACAGGAATGTTTAACAAAGGAGATGAAGTTTACACCCTAATAAAATACTGTATTGGTGACATATTTCACATATATACACAAAAACACCATGATTATTTTATCCCTTTACTTATTATTCAGTTTCTGTCTGTTCCGTTGGACACTACATGACTATTGGCAGACTACTCCAGTTAAGGAGAGGCACATTTATAAAAAGGCCATTCAGCATTTTTAAAAGGAAGCTGTATGACATGTCAATATCAACAGCTAAATCAGAAGGAGAGCTCATGACAGAGTCTTTGATCAATGAGACAACACATGGAAGAGGACCTGGAGTAACAACATTTGGATAAAATGAATATTTCATCATTCCAACTTCCACAATGATGCAGCAGAAAATTAAATTACAAGCCTCAGATTCAACATAGCGTACAATTAGTGGTATAAGAAAATACAGTTTTTCAATATGGCCTTTTTGATTCTTGGTTGGGTAGGTAATGCAAAGGGCTTGGTGTCCTATGTGAATTATCTACTTTGAAAAGGTTGCAGCCGTCTGAGTAAATGTCATGTTGAGCAAAGTACAGTATTGTGTGTACAGGAAGGTGCAAGTGTAGAGTGATGAAATGAAATGCATGTATATGTGGTGGCAGTCCATTTTAAGACATGTTCTTTCTTCTTTCATGTTCATTCTTATGTAGTTGTGTATTTTGACTTTGCGCACGCTGTCAACAGCATGTCCTGTCTATGTGTGCAAGCCAGCTGTCATACAGCTGTGTCGTGTGACCACTCCATCTAATCACCTATTCCCTACGTTGTCACACAGCAGGCTGGCTGTGCTCATTACAGCTTGTTTTTCACTTTTCTCCCCATCTGGCATGTCTTAATAAGACTGTATCAATATTAAAAGCCTTGAGCTATAACCATGCAGTGACTCCACACAAGGTTATGGCTACAGCTGGAAGGTGCAGCCAGTCACTGAACAAAACTCCACCAAAGTCTCAGTACCAAAATCTGTGCAAACTCTCAGCTCTGTCATGTGAAAGCAGAGCTTGGAATTGACTAACCAGGATTTTTATGATTTTTATTTGTATGAAAAAAGTAAAATACACTGGGAAAAGGTCGGTTACTATCCGGCTTTACCTACGGTACTTTTGCAAAATGTGATTAAAAGTGTTAAGATATGTCTGAACCAAGCCATTTGCACTCCTTGCTCAACACTCCCTGGGCTTCCTCTTGAACCCACCCAGGTTTTATCCAGGCTATCCTAGCTGATAAACACCAAGCTGGTGTTACATGAGGACATTTGCCCTGGTGTCAGGCAACCGGAGAGCAACCAGTCCTCCCCCGACGAGCACAGACGAGGCCATGAGGATCGGGATGGCCTTTGTGATTCCAACAAGAGAACCAAAAATCAGGTTCCCCAAGACTGCAGCCAGCTTACAAAGAGCGTTGCAGAACCCAAAACCTGTTCCTCTGGGGAGAGAAAAATCGATGACAATAGGTGAGAAATGCGTTAAAATTGACTGAATCATCCATGGCATGTACTTATCTATTGTTTATCTCCTCACCTCCTGACAGTAGGGAATGACTCAGTTGTGACCACATCCAGGGAGTTCCAGGCAGAAATGCTCAGGCCGTTGTAAAGGCACAACATGAAAATCATCATGGACTCGCTGGTGCCAAACCACAAGAAGAAACAGCTGATGCCTGAAAGGACCATAGAGCCACCTGATGGACATACAAACACACACACAGGGCAAAAGTTGTAAAGTGCAAATGGCATTCATTTGTATAATGTTCAGCTAAATTATAGGAAATAATCAAAAATTGCCTCTCACACTCAATGAGAGATGCCACACACATAGCATGAATCATTTCAACATCCTACAGTCAGTGTGAAAACCAATTACTCAAGTGCACACAAAAACATCCTCCATTCCTACCTAACATGGACAGACGTCCAATTTTGTCCATGAGAAGGGCGGACACAATGTTGCCTGGAAGAACAGCCAGGGTCCCCAGGAAATTGATGAAGTAAACCCAGTAGGCACTGTAGTCATCATCAAACGTCATCTGGCATCCCATCTTGTTGTGGGTGAAAGTGCTGTTGATCACCTCTGTGCCATCTATCAACTTGGATTCATCGATGTCTACCCAAATAATACAAAAATAAAAAATAATCAAAATTTTGCAATAATAAAACAGAGCCAATCTCAAAGAATTATATTGTTTTCTTGTCTCACAACTGTTTGAAAATGTTTTTTTTTCGCCATGATAGGGCTATGCCTGATGAATCAGAAAACGTACCACTCCGGCTGTGTATTCATGTCAAAGTAAGACTACAAGAAACTGTAATCCCAATATCTCACCTGTGTTAAAGAAGTAAGCATCAATGAAAGTACAGTTACGGAAGAAGGAGCCCACCGATGTCACATCATCAAAGTAGCAGTTCCGAAAGGTAGATTCAATGAAGGTGACGGATTTCAGCTTCATATTGATGAATCTGGAGAAGCACAGTTACATTCTGCTTTTAATATTCACGCATAGTGGCTACAGCAACATTTTAGACCTTAATCTTCCTGTTTATATTTAACAGATATGTGTAATTATAAGGACCCTGTGATTTTGTATCCACAAACCCTGCTGGTAAGTTGACTTATCCTACCGGTCATTGATGAAGAGACCATTTTTGTGTATCTGGTTCTCCAGGGTGAAGTTGAAGGTGAAGTCTTCAATGCGTTCATTGTCGTGGATCTTCACTTTGGAGGCATAGTCATCTGCCTGAAGGTGTTTGATAACATCAGGGAACCAGACTGACAGGCCATAATACCTGCAACCAGAAGGATACAGCCATATCAGGATATGAAGAGAATCAATTGATCAGACAAAGAATGTGGATTTTAGACTGAGACCTGGCAAAAACATGTATAGATACTCTCTCAAATGTGCAGTCAGAGACAGTAGAAGAACAGGAGACACTTGTGGTTTCTGTTTGATTTTAAAGAGTGTTTTCAGGGTGTTTTTAAATCTCTGGCCACTTTCACTGTTATCTCTGCTCCCACTGAGACACCAGTGGACCAGTATTGATCCACAGACTGAGATTGATTTCGGGACCATGCAACTTCTGCACAGCAGAGAGATCAACATGACAGAAATGCAATGTGGCCGCAAGCCCGACTGCCTAGCGCTATTATGTGAAAGGAGAAAAAAGTCATGTCTGATTTTTCTATGGCACAAATGACATCAGAAAGACACTCACCCGAATGACAGTGTGAACCACACTATGGCTAGTCGCATCATGTTTTCTCGCATAGGGTAGTTGAAGCACTTCATGAGATTCAGATAGATCTAAAAAGAGACAAGGGACTTGTTGTACTTGATTTGATCAGAAGACACATTTGGGATCAGATCAGTGAACAGAAATAAGTTTCTTAATAAGAAAAGGCTTCTGCTGAAATAAAAACACAAATATTTACCCCATGTATTTCAGCCTTTATCCTAAAGAAAGCCTTGGAAACTGGGTTGCCAGTCTCTGACTCCATTTCCACCAGTTCATCCAGCTGTTTGGGGATCTTGATTCTGTTTACCTGGGTATGATGATTACAGTACAACACAATAGGTGTAAATTAATTTCTTGAGACGTGATCAGTCCGTTCACAGTCCAGTGGCTCTTACTGGGAAGTTGTCATCTTATATCTCTTCTATACTAGTTTGGTTCTCTGGACCACAACAAGCTCAAATTAATGACTAGCTTCCTCTGCAAGTCCCTCAAGTTTGTAATGAGATTTTAGTTCCATGCTCCGATTACCTGGAGCTCTCTACAAAGTACTCTTTAAACTTGTAATTACAGTTTTTCTCACTCACTTTAGTACATTTTTTCAGATCTGAATTGAAATTCTCAAAACTACTTGTTGAACCTCCACATCATCTCGTCACTTGTGACGTCACTCGTGCACATCATAAAAGCAATTTTTCATTGTTTTGAAGCAAATGATTATGCACAATTGTCTGCTGTTTCCTAATTATTATTTGGTTATGTCATGCTGATCACAATGAATTATACTCTCTGTTTTTATTATTCAATTCTGTTGAATAGTCTCACCCCCCAAAACATCCAGGCACATGTTCATTGCATAAGTCACTACATACAAAATGGCTGTACACGTCAAAATCAAAGTAAAAGTGTGTGTGTGCGTGCGTGTGTGCGTGCGTGCATGCTTGCATATATATATATATATAGAGAGAGAGAGAGAGAGAGAGAGAAAGAGAGAGATAGATCGTCTATATTTATCAATCACATTTTCTATACATGTCTATTAGACTTTTTTTGTGTAAATGTCTCTTTACTGTAATTGAAGAAGATGGCCGTTGTGATGTGGATGAGAATCTGTGACCTGACAGACAGGAACATCAGCCTAAGGAGTGTTTCACATGCTTACATTTCTAATTTTGTAATTTCTTCAGTTGTCAATGCCGTGATGTAAAACAGTCTTTTCTTTTTCTTTTCTGCATCACAATGTCAACAAATTACATTAAAAAACGAAAACTTGTAAATGTGAATCTTGTCTGATCTCATCCAATGTATAATTTTGTACTGTTGAAATTGATACATGCCATACAAAAAAAGTGCAGCAATGTGCATTTCCAATCATTGTCATTCAAACCTTAGCCATAGTTTACATCAGAAAACACTTACAGAGTACACTATTATGTTGATAACATGACTAAACATTTTGAGTAATTTGTTCGTAAACAATGACACAAGGACTTGTCATTCTGATGGCACTGACATGTTCACTGACATAAAGATTTGCTTTTGAGAGATAGACCAAGGATTTTCAGGAAGTTACGGGCTTTTGCAGGGAATCCACTGTGTCGTGCTGTTTGTTGTATATGTTTCGAGAAATGTACTTCCTGTTTTGCAAATGTTATGGATGATTCGAGAAATGCACCAAAGCAAGTGAGAAAAAATGCAGTTGTTTTTATATTCTTAATTTTTTTTGTATCTTTTGAATCATTTACAACTGTTACTGGACAATATTGTAAATGAGGGCAATCCCTCAATGATGTTTCAAGTTAGGTAATAATAATCGCTGTCATTATGTCAGCAATATTATGGATAGTACTAATATTGTGGTTTTTTCACTAATTTCAATTTGGTTTTCTATTTTCTTGTCCCCCAATTTGTAGCATTTAATAACTGTAATAAAAATCCAATCAGAATCAAAAAGGTAAGTGTAAACAGTGAGTATTACAGTACGTGATCAATTCAAGAAAAGTGTTGACTAAGAGGCTTTCCCAAAGTGCAGCTCACGCAGCAAATAAGCCTGAGTGACACAAAACAGCTTTCAGAACCTTCATAATTCAGATATGATCCTGCATGGTGAAAGCGTTAAAACCTGTCCCAGCGGTGGCAGAATATAAGCCTCTTTGCTTCCTTAAGCATCAGGAAACCCAGCCAAGACAGCGCACAGCAGAAACAAACACTCACGGTGAAGACTTTCTCCGGTTGCCCACGCGCTCTCATGTTGGTGTCGTGGATCTGTTTGAGGATCATCCAGGCTTCATCATGCTTCCCCACCTGACAAGAGGGAAGCGAGAGGGAGGAAAAAAAGAAGACAAGATAAATTCATGGGATCAGCACCTGTCTCGCTTACTCAGGGACTGCAGCAGTCTCAATCGTATATACTGTACATAAATACATTCCTTTGATTTCTCTAAGATGGGCCAAAATGATGAGAGTCACGACAACGGTGACTCACTTTACTTCAAAGGGTAATTATCCTGCAGCAGCAAACCTACTGTCACGGATCTCCAGGCTTCCATTTTGCAGACACATGTAAGGCCTCCTCCAAAAGTTTTGGATGACTCACACTGTTAGGTCTGACTGAACATCTGTTGGGAAATTTTCAAGTACTCTCAATTTGCCTGACATATTAATCTAGACATGTCAGATGTGAAATTGATAAGTGCAGACAGTAGGTGAAAATGACACAGCACCATTAGGCAACTTTAAAGATTCAAGAGAGATTAGAACAGTTTCAGTATGAACATTTCTTGAGCTGTAATACTTAGGGGGGAAAAACATTACCTCAAGGTAGAACCTAGGGCTTTCGGGCATGAAGGTAAGCGCCACCACAGCACACACACAGGGCAGGGCACAGACGACCACAAACACCCTCCAGCTGTGAAACTGGTAAGCTGAACCCATACTGAAACTCCAACCTGTAAACGATGGCAACGACACAACACCAATGACAGTCACGTGTGATACAGATGGATGACAGGAGGTGAATGCATTTTAATACTAATGACTAGTGAACTAAATAAACCAAACCTGTTATAGTTAAGATCAGCAGTATAAGACTAATTGAAATCCACAAATACTGTAAAACATAATAGAAAACAAATATTAAATGAACAATGTCATCAAGATTATCCAACATCAGAATAGAAATGTTCGTTATATCCCACTACATCATAACAGAGGGTAGACCAAATAATGTAAACACGATATAAAGTTGTTGTTGCTTTGCAAACTTAGCGGCTTAATTTTTACATGTCCAGGAGATACGGAGAAACAATAGCAATCGCTCTGTTTTTTGGTAAATATTATCACCTGTGGAAAATATCTGCTGCGCCCATGTTCCTGCTCCACAACCCTGCTATAATTATTATTATTAGACATATTATTATTATCATCATCATTATTATTGCTGATAGCACTGTGGCCCATCAGCAAGAAGGCTGGGGTTCAAACCCCGGTTGCCCCGGCCTTTTGTGTGGAGTTTGCATGTTCTCTGAGTGTTGTCTGAGTGGGTGCTCCGGCTTCCTCCCACCGTCCAAAGACATACGGACTAGGTTAATTGGTGACACTAAATTGTCCTTAGGTGTGAGTGTGAGTGTGACTGGTTGTTTGTCTATGTGTGGCCCTGCGATGGATTGGCAGCCTGTCCAGGGTGTACCCAGCCTTTCACCCGATGTCGGCTGGGATTGGCTCCAGCCCCCCGCAACATTAAATTGATTGATATTTGCATTATTACCACTGTCATCAATATTATTTTACTTCTCTGTAGTAAAATACTTTTACTTCTCTTTACAATCTGAAACTTGCATTGTCCTGCTGTGTGTTGTCTAGTATTTAACATATTACGGCCTACTTTGTACTTGTTTGTATTAAGTATCATTCAGAGTTCCAGTTTTTCTCAGTCGCTTTGGTACATTTCTCGAATCATCCTTAACATTTGCAAAACAGTAAGTGCATTTCTCGAAACAGGTAGTACAAACGGCACAGTGGATTACCTGCAAAAGCCCATAACTTGCTCAAAATCCTTAGTCTATCTCTCAAAAGCAAATCTTTATGTCATTAAACTTGTCATTGCCATCAGAACAAGAAGTCCATGTGTCTTGTTTATGAACAAGCAAGTCAAAATGTTTAGGCATCTTGTCAATATAACAGTGTACTCAGATGAAAATGCACACAATGCAATAAATCAACTTTTTGATGATATTCTAATTATATGACCAGCACCTTTGTGTGTATATATATATATATATATATATATATATATATATACAGAAGCCCTAATCAAATATTGTTTTACTCAACATTTTCTCGTGATTTCGAGATAACCATAATGGTAATTATAGTGTGGTTTGTTGTATCATTGGTTAGCTCACTTGGTAGAGCATAGGACTTATAGGTTTAAGGTTGTGTGCTCAAGACAAAATTTTTCTTTTTAATATTTTTCATAATCCTCTTCAACAAAGTTCTTATGAACTTTTCCCCATCATTCCCAGGCAGAGGAAATTCCTTCTCATTCAGGGGAATCCATGTAACATTACACATTTCCTGATGAGCCCTGTGCTCTACCAACTGAACTAACCAGTGACACTGGTAATTGCTTTGAAATTATCCTAAAGAACCTGCCAGTCCCTGTATTCAGCTATGGTTTGTTATCCCGTGATCACGAGAAAATGAATTATCCCATTCTCAGGGGAAACATTTGTTTTATTTATGTAATATATATATACATATATTACTGCTCACTATGTTTTGTTATTGTTACTGTTTACTGATATTGAGTATTGGTATGGAGTGTTGCTATTGTGATGTTGTTGTGGTCTATTCTTACTTTGTTTATGGTCCTTAAGAAACAACATTTCATTTAGCTACAGTATATACTTGTAGGCAAAGGATATGAATAAAGTATTTTAACTTAAGTGACTAATGCAATGAACTTATGCCTTGATGTTTTGGGGGGTAAGATTATTCAACAGAGACTGGTATAATTCATTGTGATCAGCAGGACATAAGCAAGTGATAATGTAGGAAACAGCAGACAATCGTACATAATCATTTGCATCAGTGTGTCAAGTCATTCACAATTTGTTCAAAACAATGAGAAAATGCTTTTATGATGTGCACAAGGGACGAGATGATGTGGAGGTTGAACAATTAGTTTTGAGAATTTCAATTCTGATCTGACAAATGCACCAAAGCGACTGAGAAAAACTGTAATATTCAGACCTGAACCCCTGTTTCATGAAATGTTTATATTATTTGATCCATGTGGCTTTTACTCTGTTTTGTTGAGCTAAAAGTCGGTGTCTCACTAATATTAATATTTCTTGCTAATATTTGTTGTCATAAGTGCTCAGTTCTTGTGCTGAATTATATGCCATCTGAAGCTGCACGTGGTTATTTAGCCAATCTTCAGCTCACATGGGTATAATAAAAGCAAATTATGATTACTTAATAAGTCTCAAAGAGATGCTTTGAGGAAGCAGTGACTAAATAATATTAGATGTAGCACTAGCGTACTTCCTTATCAGAGGGGGGACTGGGCTACTTGATCTGAGAGGCTGATTCTAAATGTTACTGTGTGTCTGAATCTCATACTGCGAACAAAAAGGGTCTGCAAATAAAAGATGGCATTTAAATGAGAGCACTCCGCAGGCAGAGCGGAGGGATGTGCAAGCTTAGAGATGAATGGCTCTGCAGAGGCAGCTGGGAGAAGTGCACAGGGACGGGTTAATTGAATGTGTAGGAAAGGAATTGAGTGTTTTCTGCTAAGTTAAATCTTGTTGCACCTGATTTCAGCCCACAGGCACTCTCCCAGACTCATTAATCATTGTAACATGCACACATATACACGCACACGCGGGACTTATACTCTCTCACAAAGGGGGAGATGCACATGCACATATACAGAAATAAAAGTTGGCATTAACAAAGAAAAAGCACGAAAACAAAAATTACCATCTGTAGATGACACTGACACAGCTAACATAAAGCCACACTCCCACCCACACATATACACAAGTAAATACAAAAATGTACATACATAGATAGACATCATACATTTTCCTTTTCCTTAAGCACTTATTTTTAAGCATTTTTTAACCATTCAGTGGAGCAGAGTGTAAAAGTTACAGAAAGGAATGCTCATGATGGTAACTCAGGGAAAGAATTTAAGTATATGTACTGTACTGTAATGTCAGAATGAGCCAGGGTGCAATCACAAAAATGTAGTACAATGTACTGTATATGTAGATCTGTATTTTGGGCTCTCATTGACTTTATTTTTCGAATTTTTGGGTGGAAGCGCAGCAAGGGGTTGCAGTGTCAGTCGTGACCTCCCACGTTTCTCGACAGATCGTGCCTCATGGAGATGCTGCTCCAAAGGGAATAGCACCATTATCCATCAACAGGCGTGGGAGGGGAGTCAGGGGGTGCTGAGGGGGTTAACGCTAATGGTTGTTCCAGAAAAAGGCTGCTTGGAATTAATCTCACAGCATATTAAAATCCAGCTTTGAAAGCAATGCATATCAACTGCTAAAAACAACTATTTTCAGAGGGGGGTGGGCGTCTGTCATAAGTGGCAAATGCATCCCAGTAGAGACCAGAGAGATGAATATGTCTCTGTAGAAAGCAGAAATCAGCTCGAGGGGGGCAAATGTAAAGCAGAAACTAGAAAAGGAAATAGAAATAAAGAAATAAATGTTTTTATATTTGCTAACAGTGCATTATTTGATGTACAGAACACAATACAATGTGCAAGATAAATGGAATATACAGCATTACTTACTAAATGCTTTCACTGACCAGTTTAAAGTTCAGCCTTTGTGCTCAGTAACAATCTTATATGTGATACAACACACATTAGCTGTCTATGATTGGGTTTCACTCTCATAGTGTCTGTTGGGCAGTAGGAGTAATTACTTTTGTAGACGACGTCTCGCCGGTGTGTATTCCCGCTTTCTCTGAGTCCCTTTATTTATTTCCCTGTCTGTCTCCGTGCGTGTGTGTGTGTGTGTGTGTGTGTGTGTGTGTGTGTGTGTGTTTTTCAGTGCGTGCGTGTGTGTGTGTGTGTGTGTGTGTGTGTTTTTCAGTGCGTGTGTGTACGTCTGGAGTGACTCAGAGTGAGAGAGAAGGAAGTAAAGACAGAAAGAGAATGAGTAACAATGAGAGAGAGGGAAGGAGTTGTTCAGCAGTGATTGCCTTTTCTACAGAAATGTAGTGTGGCTTCCTGCCCCTGAGGGTTACTGTGTTTCACCCATGCCATTGTAAATCTCATCACAGGGATTATGTACATAATTGTCTAAGTATATGGATGACTGAGTCAGTAGTGCTACGCTGCTCCCACGACAGACAGACAGACCGATAGATAGATAGATAGATAGATAGATAGATAGATAGATAGATAGATAGATAGATAGATAGATAGATGATCCAGTGGATGGTGTTTAAAGTTTGATCTGTAAATCTGAGCAGTCTAATGAGGATGCTCTAGTGGTAGGCTTCTTGGCAGCAAAGAAATTCCTCAAACTCTCCCATCAGTGTGACGAGGATCTGAGCAGACCTCCTTCAGGGCCCCAGCTGTGAGTCTGGCAGGGGGCTTTTGGGAGACATTAGGAGTCAGTGAGCGGAGAAGATAAATGAGAGCTCCAATGCTGTATTATACACCTGTGTTGATTAACTTGTATCATAACCCATCAGTGATACCTTTATGTCTTCGTTGAACGACGTAAAGGTATCACTGCAGGAGGCATTTTTTGCCCACACATCTTAGCGCTGTTGGGTGCAGGCACTGCAGCACTTTAGGGAAAACATAAAAACTATTGGTGAGCGCTGGAGTATGTATGCAAGACACGTAGATCCCTCTCAGAGAAAGAGAGGCAGAGTGGTAGTGAGAGTAAGAGGGAATAAGAGAAAAGTAATGCCTCTACCATCCCTTCAATGCGATATCAGCAGATCTGACAGCAGAGTTCCCTCATGGAGCCTTGTTCTGGTTTCAGAGGGTTTTCTGAGTCCTTTGCCAGTATGCTTCTGCACATCCATGTAAGCGGGTCTAGTCCTTTATTCTTAATGAGAAACAATATGATGTTCTCATGTGCCTTTCTCAACTCAAACGACCTCTTACAATGTCAGATGTTATTACGTTCAATGCGCCTTGAAGAAGACCTGTATGTGGCTGTAGCCCAGTAAAACATTATCCATGCCACTTACAGCAACACACACACACACTATCTCCCTCTCACTGACGTCACAGGTTGGCTAAAGCATGGTCTGGCCATAAATCACCTCTAGCTGTAGCTTTGTCCTATTAGAGCAAGGAGAAAAACCTAATTATGCTTGATCAAGAAGAACACTGTGTGGAGACAGAGACTGGAGAGAGAGGAGAGGTAATAAAAGGAAGGACAGAGTTAGACAGAGAGATGGGGCGAGTACAAAACAGGAAGAGAGAGGAGGCGGTAAAAGGAAGGGATAGCAGATTTTAAAAAGCAGGGAAGAAGTGGTAAGAATGCAAGAAGAAGAAGAGGCGGAAAGCTCATTCCTTCTTTTTGTTTATTTACATGATATGTGCAGTACTGTCATAAATCACAGCTGTCTCTCTCTCACACACCCACCCTCAACCTTTCAGCATGCGCCTGTTCTCTGGTATCCATACGTATTAATCTCTTAACCTCTGCCTCTCCCAGCCAGCAGCCACTCAGAGCTATTAAGTGATTGATTTTCATGGCAGGGAAAACTAGCAACTAGCCTTACAGTTTTCTAACCTGTAGTCAGGAGCTTAGCATAAAGTCACTTTGCCAAGTTTCTCATCAGTGTTACTAAACATAATCCTGTTAAGACTTTCACTACATTTAGCTTTTTAACTTGGCCTTTTCTTATTATTACGAAGCACATTCCAAAGCCCAGCAAGTGCAAATTAAAATATTTTCTAGCTGATAAACTCACCGTAGTGTGGGATGATGGCCCAGGCCATAGCAGATGCATAGATCTCCCCTATCATCCAGAACATACACAACCAGCTGAGGTGTTCTCCTCTCTTCTCCCTGGACAACACCTCTGCAAAGAAGGAGAAAACGATGGGCACAGCACCTCCTATCCTGCAAAAACCAGAGAGAATGGGAAAGTTAGTGATAGTAAGGCAGCTGGAACCCAAACCAGGGTAGAAATATAACTTTATTAATCCTTGTGTTTTACATATTTTACATAGTTGCAATCATGATATCTTTTACATGCTTTGTCTTAATGTCTGCACTTACTGGCTTGTTTTTTTACCTCCAGTTGAAGAGCAACTCAAACATTGCCAATGAAGTTGTGATTTGATTATATGCTTAAAATTTAATACACTTTATTCAACTTTTTTACCTCTGTAAAATGTTTTTTGGGTGTTTTCTATTAAAACATAATACACTGAAGGCTTACTGCTAAGATTACAAAGGAGGCAAAAAAATATGCACAACTAAGCATATTTGTCTCCCAAACATAATACAGAAAAACAAATCTTCAGCACCAGTTCCTCATGATTCAGAGGCATGGGTTGCATTGGCAGTTTGGACAGCCTTTTCAATTACTCTGAAGGTCTCTGGGGAGAGTGATGCAGATGCAATTACTGAATTAGCTCTCAAAGGAACAGTGACACCTCCAAAGAAGAGGATACAATAAATCAACGTCTAAACCATGTTTCTGTGCAGGAAGAGGATGACGCTTTCTCTGGTAGAGTTTTCATTTGAAACAAGAATTTTAAGATTGCAAGAATGTATACCAAAGTTTTATTAATGGAGTGAGATTATAATTGGCTATGACATCTTACACTTTGACTGTCAATAGATTTTACTGTTCTACGTTGGAGCAGTAGAGAAGTGGAGAAAATTACTTTTATATAGCTGGAAAGGAAACTTGACAGATGGACATAGTGAACACTTTATCATAAAAGATTCAAGAAACAGGCTTTAAGTAATGATTAAAGGAAGTTGCTTTCAGCATTTTTCAACAACTTCACCAGTTATTCAGTGGAAGTCAACAAAAGGAGTAATAATTAGAAGGGAAAAGAGACATGCCGACAGAAACACTCCTCAAACAGATTTTGCCTCAGAGAATAATTCTTTACTGTTGGTATTACATACTATATTTGTTCAAATAGTGTGACCATTCTGTTGCCAAAGAAAGAGTAGTGTACCATGTTACTTGACCTTTCACAGTTAATTTAAATGATGATTTGCCATTCTCATCGGCCCCAGAATGACCTCCACATCTCAGACTTACCCAAAGCCTGCGATGAGACGGCAAAGGAGGAATAAGCCATATCCCTGGACAAAAGATGACAGGAAGGCGAAGAAGCCATTTGTGGACATGCAAATGAGGAGGCACTGTCTGCGGCCCACTTTGTCAGACATCCCTCCCCAGAAGAATGCTCCAACCATCATCCCCAAGTAAACAACACTGCCTGGAAATATAAGGGGAGAGAGGGGTTTCATTTTTGTTTATCTTAATATACAAGTGAATGTCATACATCACCTCACATCTCTGCATGTGCAGATGTTTGTATGAGGTTGCATGTTTTTGTATATAATATTTCGGGAGTTTATCTCAATGGTCAGTTGACTGAGATGATTTGGTGCCAGTCCACTCATCAGTTTTTATCTGTAAGTTAATAAATGAGTCACCTCCCACAGTTGTTTTTCACATATGAGTTCCTAAATTATCTTCATGAAGTGATACATGCTCTTTAGGATCACTTTAAATGTGCAATAATGGATTTTTTGGCCACCTGGGGGCAGCAGAGACAAGCTGTGAACACAACACTGAAATATTATCCCGTTATAAAGTTGATGTGGCTAACTTAGCAAGCAGTTGCCTATTTTAACATCCAGCAGGTATTGGCCACCTGGCACATCCAATATTTACTTCCAGCTCTGTTAATGGTCTGCACTAACTCCTGAGGGAAGTATCGGACTCCTATACAAGCTGCTAATTGTGTGAACTGGAGATTTTGCAGAGTTTTTTCACTGTCCACTGTGGCTGAATATGAGAGCAGTGAGAGTGAAACAGAACAGTAAAGTTATGAAAACCAAAACAATGAGATGCTGTGAAGCTCCACAGAGCAGAAAGGAACTGCAGATAATAGCAGGATAACCAGATAATGTCTGGAGGTTAGTCACTACGAGCTACACCTTTCACATAAAGTGCTCATGTGATCCATTCTAAATATAAAAATATTGATTACAGCTTTTAACATGTCAATAGTTACAGATTTACCTGAGAGATTCACAGAAAGGTCTCTGCTACAGCTATTCATTTTTACAAAGCATTTCAGCCACGTAAGTACAATTATACCTTGCTCAGAGACACAGGGGCAAGACCAACTAAGAAAGATCCACTTTCACTCCCTGCTAAGGGTTTGAACTGATAACCTTCACAGATTTGCGGTTTTTATTCTCGTACTATCACCATTCATTAAAAAAATTCCTAAGTAAAAGGGAACTTGACATTTTGAAAATATCGCCTCCTAAGTAGTCAAAGCCACCCAACACTGACTCTCAGCCAAGAAGTGTTTAAGGAATCGTGTCCTCTAAATGTGCCTCCGCTGGCAAATGGTGCAGCGTCAAATTAAAATATGGAGCAACATTAAGCTTGTGCCTCCGTTATCGCTGATTGTTCATTAGTGAAGTGGGAGTTATGTTGAATGACTGACTCCACAAGGAATGATACACTTACAGGTGATGATGTTGTTTTAAAAAGACTGCTAGATGCAAGTGCTGATATCATTCAAAATGTTTTTTATCTAAGCAAACACACACACACACACACACACACACACACACTCACACATTCCCCAGGCTACCAATTAAACATACACTTTCTGACTGTATAACAAGAAGAAGAGATGTATGTATGATTTTCAGATTCAAGCAAATTTTTGCCCTGCTGCTTTTCAATTCAATTCAATTTTATTTATATAGCGCCCAATCACAACAACAGTTATCTCTAAGCGCTTTTCATAAAAGAGCAGGTCTAGACCGTACTCTGTGATGCTATTTACAGAAACCCAACAGTTCCCTCCAAGAGCAAGCACTAGGCGACAGAGGCAAGGAAAAACTTCCTTTTAAGAGGCAGAAACCTCGAGCAGAACCATGGCTCAGGGTGGGCGGCCATCTGCCTCAACCGGTTGGGGGTGAGAGAGAGAGAGAAAGAAGGGAGAAGGATGGAAGGAGAGAGAGGGGAGGGAGGCAGCCTACATAATATACACACAGAGGTACAGACAGTAAAGGTAATGTTGCTATATCCTGAATGAAAAATGGTACAGATATTTAAAGTAGTGTTAATGATAATAATTGTAATGTTAATGATTATAATAACAATAACAATAGGACTAGTAACAATAATTGGAACAGAGGGTGTCGAGCAGGAACACGGGGGCAGCAGGTGACTCGCAACCACAGATCCAGACTCCACATCTCCAGAGCCAGAAACATCTGCAGAAAGTGATAGGAGGAGAGAGGAGAGGGACGAGAAAGCACAAGACTACAGGAAAGGGAAGAAGTTGAGTTAGTAACATGCATTAATGGGATGAGGTTGCATACAGAGGGAGAGAAAGAAGAAAGAGGAGCTCAATGCATCATGGGAAATCCCCCGGCAGTCTAGGCCTATAGCAGCATAACTAAGGGATGGTTCAGGACTAACCTGAGCCAGCCCTAACTAAAAGCTTTATCAGAGAGGAAAGTCTTAAGCGGAGAGGAGTTTGATAGCTGAACGCTCTGGCTCCTAGTCTACTTTTGGAGACTCTAGGAACCACAAGTAACCCTGCATTCTGGGAGCGCAGTGCTCTGGTGGGGTAGTAAGGTACTATGAGCTCTTTAAGATAAGATGGTGCCTGACCATTGAGAGCTTTGTAGGTGAGAAGAATGATTTTAAATTCTATTCTGGATTTTACTGGAAGCCAATGCAGAGAAGCAAAGACAGGAGAAATGTGATCTCTTTTCATGGTTCCTGTCAGAACACGTGCTGCAGCATTCTGGATCAGCTGAAGAGTCTTAATGGACTTTTTCGCGCAACCTGATAATAAAGAATTGCAGTAATCCAGCCTAGAAGTATCAAATGCATGGACTAGTTTTTCTGCATCATTTTTAGACAGGATGTTCCTGATTTCTGCAATATTACGAAGGTGAAAAATCGCGGTCCTTGAAATTTGCTTAATTTGAGACTTAAACGACATGTCCTGATCAAAGATAAATCCAAGATTCCTCACAGTGGTGCTGGAGGCCAAGGCGATGCCATCCAGGGAAACTATATCTTTAGATAATGCGTCACGGAGGTGCATGGGCCCCAGAACAATAACTTCAGTTTTATCTGAGTTTAACATTAGAAAATTACAGGTCATCCAGGTTTTAACATCCTGAAGGCACATTTGAAGTTTAGCTAACTGATGAGTTTCATCTGGTTTGATCGATAGATATAACTGAGTATCATCTGTATAACAATGAAAGTTTAGGAAGCATATATAAAGTGGATACGATTGGTCCAAGAACAGATCCTTGTGGAACTCCATGACTAACTTTGGCTTGTATGGAGGACTCATTGTTAACATGTACAAACTGAAATCGATCTGATAAATAGGACTTAAACCAGCTTAGAGCGGTTCCTTTAATGCCAATGAAATGTTCCAGTCTCTGTAATAGGATCTGATGGTCAATGGTATCAAATGCAGCACTAGGATCTAATGAAACCAGTGCAGAGACAAGTCCTTTGTCTGATGCAATTAGGAGGTCACCAGTGCTGTCTCTGTGCTATGATGAACTCTAATTCCTGACTGAAAATCCTCAAATAAACTATTGCTCTGTAGGAAGTCACACAGCTGTTTAGCAACTGCTTTCTCCGGGATCTTAGAGAGAAATGGAAGTTAGATGTAAGGGGTTAGATATAGGTCTATAGTTGGCTAAAACGTCTGGATCAAGGTTGGGCTTTTTCAGAAGGGGTTTAATTACAGCTACTTTAAAGTACTGTGGTACATAGCCTGTAGATAAAGACAGAAGATTGATCATATCTAGTATAGAAGTGCTGACTAAGGGTAAAACTTCTTTAAGCAGCCTAGTCGGGATGGGGTCTAAGAGGCAGGTTGATGGTTTAGATGAAGAAATTATTGAAGTTAGTTGGTAAAGATTGAGGGAAGTAAAGCAGTCTAAACACATATCTGGTTCTACAGCCGTTTCTAAGGTTCCTGAGTTTAGAGATAAGTCGGTGCCAGTTGTTGGCAGGTCTTGGTGAATTTTGTTTCTAATAGTTATAATTTTATCATTAAAGAAGCTCATGAAGTCATAACTACTGAGAGCTATGGGAATACTTGGCTCAATAGAGCTGTCAGCCTGGCTACAGTGCTGAAAAGAAACCTGGGGTTGTTCCTATTTTCCTCTATTAATGATGAGTAGTACACTGCTCTGGCATTACAGAGAGCCTTCCTATAAGTTTTAAGACTATCTTGCCAAATTAAACGAGAATTTTCCAGTTTGGTGGAACGCCAATTCCTCTCAAGTTTCTGCGATATTTGCTTTAATTTGCGAGTTTCAGTATTATACCATGGAGCTAACTGTCTTTGTTTTATTATTTTCTTTTTTAGAGGGGCAACAGAGTCGAGTGTCATTCGCAGCGAGCCTGCAGCACTATCAACAAGATGATTGACTCTGATTGGATCCTAAAAATCTGACCACTAACTGATGACAATGACCCTGACACCCAATTGGAAAACCCCTCAGCCCCAGTACACTCTAACGTTGATAAGTAAATACAGTGTGTAAAAGACTGAAAAATAGGCTCTGATCAATGAGGAGACAAATGTGAAATGTAACTCGGAGTGACTTTACAAAAGGGCTTGCTGCTCTCTTTTAATCTCTCTCATCACAAATGGGATCAATGCTCCAACAAAACAGCATTGATTTCTCTCTCACTGATCACCATGATTCTGCTCTGGAGAGTGGAGCCTACTGCTTTAGTCTATATTGCATGTGGCATTGTGTGGTTTGGTGGTGTCACGCCTTCATGGTCATACAGTGTCTGCTGCTGACAGCAACTCCAGCCAGATTTTTCTCCATTAAGAAACTTTTTTGGGGGGTTCTGTTCCAGGCTAAAACACTGAATAGTTTACAGCCTTAGATAATATTACCGTAATGTTTGGTCTTCATCCATATCCAGACATATGCAGACGCATATGTCCAGAGAGGATATTTGTATTTGTATCCTAATCCCACACAAAAAGAATGTGAAAGCTATAGTCCTATGTGGAGTGATACGACTCAGCCGTAGGGACACTTTGTTCACACATTACAATAATCTTAATAGCAAGATGCATTTCATTTCTGTAATGTCTGCAGTCAGGTCTCTCCTCCTCTGCTGTGAGCAGATATCTGTCTGACTCTCTCGCTTCAGGGGTCAAAACCCGGCTATCTGTCACAT